CCACAGTGAGGAGAAATTTCAAGTGAGCAGGATGAAAACATTTTTTAAAAAATGGTCATTTTATTTTCTAATCATTCCTGGTCAAATTGAAATTTGTTTTTTACCACAGTGAGGAAAAAATTCAAGTGAGCAGGATGAAAACATTTTTGCTAACAGTTTATGTTGTTTTCATTTGGGGAAGTCCATTGGTTAAAATTTGAATGTTAAAAGTAAAAACATTTTTGAAGTACTTTCAAAAGACATTCTTCAAGTTATCGATTGTGCTAAGAATTTTCATACAAAGGTTCGTACAAACATTTGTTCGAAAATCTATAAGCGTAAAGCTAGATTTAGAATGGAGCAGCTAGAATCTGGAGCAGTACATGGCAACTAATCAACTTCCAACTTCCATTTTCAAAGCTGAGAGCCAAACTCCATGTATGAATTTTTTTGCATAGTTACAGCTTGGACCAATGTCAGTATGCATATTTCATACCTGGTTGATTCTTGTGGAAGCAGAGATTCACAATAGTAGCCACTACTACTACAAGGATCCTCGCTGCCTTCCAGATCCCATGCCAAGCAGCTTCCCTGCTGCACAGTAAAAACAGGGAGCCATTCAGAGAACACCTTGCATTTTTCTCAATGAGTGCAAAGTTTTTTCTGACTGTACATGGTGGATATTGTGATGTCACCACTCCACCTCATCCAATCAGAGAACACTTTGCTTTTATCCTATGAAAGGTGCCCCCGTACAAAGCAATCAATCACCCATGCCTACTATGCAGTGGGGCAACCACTCAGCACAGGTCCTGGATGACAGCGAGGATCACTGTAGTAGCAGCAATTATTTCAGTGACTATCTGCTTCCATAGGGATCAGCCAGGTATGGAATATGTATACTTACTATGTATACTTACTTTGGTCCAAGCTGGAACAATGCAAGTATTCATAAAACATATCTGGAATTCAGCTTTAACTGAACAAGCTGAATATAGAAGCTAAATATTACTATGTACAGCTGCTCCAGATTATGCCTTTTTCAGTTTTAGTAAATGCCCATAATGTACATTATTCTGATCTGATGTGTTACAAATGTGTATTTTTCTTTAGATTTGAATAGCTTACTCTTAAACATTTTCATAAGTCCTTTTTAAAGTTTGGTTAAATATTATAGTAAATATTTTAAATATTAGTTCTCCTGCTGGGTATGTTAGTTTCTCCATAAATCGAGTTTTTTTTTTTTGGACTTGTTCCAGCTATTACCCAACATCTGACTAGAAGCTTACATACTTCTCCAAGGGTAGAAATCTCTAAGATTTGATCAAAAAGCAGATACTTTTACCTCAAACCTAATCATCACTATTCCTTTTGAAAGATGCAACAGCCTAATTCTAAAAAGAAAACATGTGTCTTCCATGTTTCCTTCTACATGCATGCAGCATGATTTACAGAGTGATTGGACCTTGCAGGTAAAAAACAAATGGCATAATGGTGCTGGTCGAAACTGAATTTGAAAATGTGGAAAAAGATAGCATCCCTTTAAGTGATCAGATATGATGCTGTGTTGTTTCCAGTTTTAGTAAAGGTAAAGAGGTGATCTGCAGGAAAAATAGATTTTGAAGTATTCACCAACATAATGCATAGAATCAGATAAATACTTACAGATTCAGAACACTATCCCCACCAAGACAAAACATAGCTAGCACAGAGATCGCATAAAGACCAACAAACAAGATGAGTAAACAGAGAGGAACAAATCTGAATAATGGTCTTTTGATTCAAAACATGAAATCTGCGTCACAGGTTGAAGGATATGTCCTCTTACACCCAATCTAAATTTTAGATAGCAGTCAAACTCATAACATGGTACAACCTGTATGTAAATGTTGAGCCATCAATATGAGTGGCATTTTCTGTTTAGCCCATTCAATTAGTGACTCAGGGTAGACAATCTATTCTCTGGATAGGACCTTATTTTGCATTACTCACTGATTGGCACCAGCTCTCACATTGCCAGGGTCAGGACATATTGTCAAATGCCGCTCTGTTCTGAGAAGTGGTCAGGAGTTGGCAACATGGTGGGGTCATATTCTACCCATCAGATGACCATGGCCAACGGGTAGATTTCAAACAACTTTTTGCCGACTCCCACTCTAAATGCAAGGTGGACCAGTTAGATAAGTCCTCTTTATATCAGAGTTGATGTGTATTCTGTAGTAGGTATGAACCACACTTTGGTCATCAAACAAGCTATTCTTAAACACTGAAATACTTATTGGAATGACTCAACTGTGGGTCACCTTTACAGTAGGGATCCATGTAGCGATTTTACCAAAACTGATTTTGCAGTATAATTACGTTTCACCTTTAACAAAAGTTTATAGAAAGCAGTTTCAAAATTTAACATGTGAATTGCTTGGATAAAAATTTGTTTGAGAAAAAAAACATGGCCTGGTTTTCCAATAATGCAATATGATCACCTTGCAGGCCAATCCTAGAACTAACAGTAACTCTAACAGTAACCTTAGACTTATTACTAACCCTCATGCTAACAATTATGCTTTATTTATTAAAAAAGTCATATGACCTCTTGTCAACGCAATCAGAATTGTCATATCAATCTCATGACTTTGTAACTATTTCAGTGCTGACACGTTGGTCATATGGTGTCAGGGCTGGGATCTGAACCCTCAACCTCTCTGCGACCTGGGTGCTAGCCTGCAGGAAAACCCATTACCTCCATCAGGAGCTCGGGTGAATACCGGCTATTGCTGGTTGGTGGGAGCCTCTCTACTGCTATAGCTACTGGTCTCTGAGCCAGACCCCTGACCATGACATATAGCTTCTGGATAGACAAAGGGTTAGGATTAATACTAGTATTAAGGTTAACAATAACGTTAGCATTAAGGTTAGAGCAAGGTTTTGGGTTAGCACTGTGGTTAAGGTTATGCACTTTTTGACACAAGAAAACATCCATGATAGTTGAAATGAGCTTCCCAAATCCTTCTGAGTCATATAGGTCCACTGCAACCTGATAAACCGCTAAATTCAACCTTAAGTTGGTACCAATGTAATTAGCCAAATGGTGAAATTTTAGTACAATTTCAACAAAATGTAAACCTAATATTTTCTGCTTTTACATTACCTCTATGGCTTGTATTCCTAAAATGCTTCAGAGAGGCGTTGCAACACAAAAGCCAAAAGGTAAGGCAATTCATTTATTTCTTCCCACAAGCGTTTCATTTTTAGTTTACTAACGCATTTTGGCATGGTGGGGTGGGAGGCCTGATAATGAAAAAAAAAGGAAGTCCTTGCTTTTCCATTGCAAGATCCACTTTAAGATATGTTTCTTTTTGTCTCCGTTCCTCTACAACCCACACACACACACCGCAGCAGACAGTGAGCTGCGTGCTCAAAGCAGAGGGATCCTCTCTGCAAACATCCTTGAAAGCACATTTCCATGTGCTAATTTCTGCAACTTGAGTGGTATTATAAAGGTGATTGTGGCACTTAACCTTCAGATCCATGGGCTATATTTATATACTTTGTATTAAATATGTGTGAATGGGCAGAAAAAGGCCATATGCAGTTTCTAGATGATAAATTCAGAAGAAATTTACTAATGACACGTTACATCAGAAACAACACATTTGTATCCTAACATTTTATATGGAAAATTATCAACAGGATTTGGACCTATGGTGACAGATTCTTGAGCATGGACATTGCTAGCACCGAGCATCTACGCATGTCCCCCGCATTTCCCAAGGTCCCAGCACTGCATGTTCATCAACATTTCCTGCAGTTTTCACACAGGCCCCAGATACTGTTTAAGCAGCTCAGAGACTCTCCTAGGCTTCTCATCACCTCTGAAATATGAAACAGACAAGGAGAAGCTTGAGATGAAAGACTTCCCACAATTCTCTGAAGAGCTTCATCTGAAGTCTCTAAATTGATTGGGAACTTCTGTTTTTTTGCTTTCTGTATCCTATTGGGAATTTTTTCCTTTATTCTGTGTCCTAGATACACAACAGCAAAAGGCAATCTTTACAAAAAGGAATTCCCCTCTTAGACGGTTGTTACCAAAACAGATATCCCCGATTAAAAACTTATCTTCACTTCTTGTTCTGGTGACAAATTTAACAATTGTATTTTCCATTATTTTCTGTCTTTTTGAAAATACCCACCAGGACACAAAGATGGATGAATTTACCCAAAAAGTGCATGGATGACTATACATAAATTAAAAAAATATTTGTGGGTATCAGAAATTACATAAATTGCCTATTAAATAGGGAGAAGACTCAGGTTCTATTTACCTATGTACCTTGAAGTTCCTCCTAATGCCATCACAGTGTGGCCACAGCAACCATTTAATACGCCACTCTACAGTCCCTCAAGCTGCCCCAGGTGTTTCACAATCTAGCAACACCCCTGCTCTTGTGAAAATCTAAGCAGATCAAAATCCCTAAGATTTGAAATGTTGCCTTTTAAAAAAAATTGAAAATGTTTGATTTACACTTGATAATCTTTATCCCTAATTAGATGAGGAATGCAGTAGAATATATTTTCAAAGTTACCTGTATACATTTTGTGTCTTGCCTTACTTCCTTTTCTTTCCACTTTCCCATTCCCTGATATCTCCACCACTTTTATTTACAATTTTCTCCTTTACTGTTCCTTTGTGTTCCCTGCCCAGGTTATACTCTTTAAGTATCGCTCAAACCCCTACTTAGTATGGCTGTATTGCTAACCTTTCCATTTGTCCCTTGTCTACATTATACAGTATATCTCTCTACCTCTTATATATCTGTTAAACAAAAAAGGCATCTGACAAAGATGGATCACACACCCACCCCTTCTTTACTAAGTAGTTATCACAAGCTCTTGCTTTTACACATAAAAAAAATCCAAATTCACAGCTTTCAAAACTGTTACACAAAGAAAATATACAGTTCCATATTACCTTCTGTATAGCAATCAGGCTTGTCATCAGGACCCATGATCATATTTCCTTCTTCATCATACTGTGCATAAGAGCCTGGTGCACATGTAGGTATTACTAGTTCTTCTGTTGTTGGCTCAACAGTTGTTGGTTCAGGTGTAGTGGTTGTTGGAGGAAGGGTGGTTGTGGTAGTAGTAGTTGGAATTGGAGTAGTGATTATCCTTGTTGTAGGAATTCTGGTTGTTCTTGCCACTTCGAGTCCCCTGAGAGGGCGCCCTCCTAAAGTCAGCACAGGCTTCTCTTGAGCACTTGCTACGGGTTTGCTGAACCTTCCATGTCCAAACAGAGGTAAACCATCTGGGCTAACAATGGGGGTACCATTCATATCTGTTTTTTTTACAAGAAACAATGTAAGGTGACAATACAAATACAATAAAATATTTTATTAACTGAACTACAAAGGGTGATTGGTGTTTAAGGATTTGACCAAATTTCAGGAAGGACAAGTGCATCGCTGTGCATGTCCAGCACTAGCTTTAATGTGAACAGCACAACTTCACTCCTCTGACCCATGACCTGACATGTGTTTTGTTATCCTGTGTTTGACCCAGCTTGCCTCTTGACAGTACTATATCCTGACCTCCTGTTCCTGATCTTAGCTCTTATCCTGACTGCACCTTCTGCATGTTGTCTTGGTACCTCTGATGCCTTTCTGGCCTGAATTCCTGCTTGTGGCTTGGCTGCCCAGCTGTTGCTGACTTGGCTCATCTTGACTATGGCTTTTCTCTTTGCATCTTCATGTTCCTGTGCCCGACCTGCAAGCTTCTTGTGTAGACCTGGTATGAGTATCTCCCGCAGCACAGCAGCTCCCAGACTGTCTTTAAAATTGCTGCATCTGAAACAATTGCAGGCACCAGTGCCACTTTTTGTCCTGCTACACCCTGTCTCCATCTCTGGGGGGTTCTGGACAGGAGGTGTAAGGGAAGCCCTCTCTTCATCTTGACCTCTAGCAGGTATGTGACACCAAGTATACAAGCATAAGTACTTTACTTGGCTCCAGAGTGTTTTAGTAACCTCTTACATAATCCACCAATGAGTATACTCACATAGTAATCCATGTCATTTTTATTCAACCCTTGGCCCTAATAGCACTTATTACATGTAATGCCAATGACTCAAGGGTTTTCAAGTATGCAGACGTTCAAACCAGTCTGCAGATATCAGTGTGTTGCTTAGCTGCAAATACTTGACAAAAGTTCCTTAACACCCTGAATGTATGGAGGTACATTTGGACCTCTTTAGATGAGATAATTTATTTGTGTTATCGGCAGTGCAGTGATGATGTTTCTTAATCTACTGCAAACACTGGAAATTTTCCATGCATTGTAGAGCTGCACTGGTTAATCATTGACTATACTCATACAGCCAAGATTAAAACATATTGTCTATTACCATACTGGTCATTGTAACAAACAATTGTATTTGTTTGTTAGCATTATTGTAGAATGACACTTCTCCAGTATGGATCGAACCACCGGTTCCAAGTCATTTGCCAACCACCATCTTATATGGATACTTTAAGGAAGTATTTGTGGTCAAGGCTATACACCTTAGAGATTGACAGCCTCACCTAGCTAAATTATAGTCTTGCAAATTTTAAAATCCCATCACTGACACTCAAGCCTTTTTTAGAGTCTGGTTCTACTTTAGGCTTATTATCAATAATCTGTTTCTGGGTAATCTAATGTTTCATGTGTTTATATAGTTCTATTGGGGCAAAGTTACAATGTTTCTGGGGGCTCTAAGTAGACACACACTATATATTTATATTTACAGAATAAAGTGCATGCATTTACCAGATAAGAAAAACCTGCAAGTCAGGAATTATAAATGAAGAGTTTACATACCCACAATGGTCCGACCATCTCCTCCCATTTTTATACGAAGAGGCTTTCCTTGAGAATCCTGGAGATATCGTCCTTCTGGGTTAAGAACCAACCCACGATTTAAATCTACAACCTAAAATCAGTCAAACTGTAAAGGCAAAATATTCTACAAATAACATGAATCAAATGACATACAGTACATAAGTAGTTAAATATTTTATTTATTTTCATCTATTTTAGTCTTCTTTCTGACTTTATAATCTTCTATTATTTATTTAATTTTTTTTAATGTTCTGGTTCTCTGTCTTGTAAATTAGTATTTTCATCTAAATCTTGTTTCTCCCAAGATGGCAATTTTCTAGCAATTTCAACCACTAAACCAGTTTTTTGGTCACAAAACCACTGAGTGCCTCAAGGAAATGAGGTCCTGGCTCAGTGAGATAGTTTAACACCTATAATTGGGAAGATACTGGAGAGTTTAATACAAGACCACATAGATTAGTTCTTGCTGGAAAAAAAATATTTTAAGCAACAGATAGCATGGATTCATGAAAGACAGAAGTTGTCAAACAAATCTGATTTCTTTTTTTGAGAAGGTGAGCAAAACCTTGGACAAAGGGGTGGCTGTGGATATGGTATACTTGGATTTTGCAAAAATGTTTGACAGTTCCCCACACATGGCTAAAGTGTAAGGTAAAGTCTACAGGCTTGGAAAAATCAGTATGTAAATGGATGAAAAACTGGCTAAAAGATCGTATTCAGAGAGTAGTGGTTAATGATTCATACTCTGAATGGTCTAGGGTTGTTAGTGGTGTATCCCGAGGTTCTGTGTTGGGACCCTTAATTTTTTATATATTTTTATAAATGATATAGAGTCTGGTTTTAAAAATACTATTTCAGTCTTTGCAGATGACACCAAGCTGTGCAGTGGAATAACGTCCTTACAAGGTGTCTTCAACTTACAAGCCGATCTCAATGCACTGTTAATTGGGCAACGATGTGGCAAATGAGGCTTAATGTTGATAAATGCAAGGTTATGCACTTGGGGGCTAAGAATATGCATGCATCATACATACTAGGGGGGTACAACTGGGGGAATCAATAGTGGAGAAGGATCTGGGAGTTCTGGTAGATCATAAACATAATAATGGCATGCAATGCCAAGCTGCAAAGAGAGCAAAATCCTCTCTTGTATTAAAAGAGGTCTAGACTCCAGAGAGAGAGAGATACCATTTTACCCCTCTGGATATCATTAGTAAGACCTTATTTGGAATATGCAGTTCAGTTTTGGGCACCAATTCACAAAAAGAACATTGGGGAACTAGAGAAAGTACAGAGAAGGGCAACCAAACTGATAAGAGACATGGAAGAGCTCAGCTATGAGGAACTTAATTTATTCTGGGCCCTCTGTTTCCTCTTGTATCAAATTGTATTGTAACTGTTATGTCTACCTTCATTTTGTAAAGCGATTCGCAAACTGTTGGCGCTACATAAATCCTGTGCAATAATAATAATAATTCTCTCTTGAGAAGAGGAGATTAAGGGGAGATATAATCAACATGTATAAATACATCAGTGGTTCATATAGTGAACTTGGTGTAGAGTTATTCACCCTGAGGTCATCACAGAGGACAAGGGGGCATGCTTTACGTCTGGAGGAAAAAATGAGATTTAATCTGCAAATACGGAAACGTTTTCTTTACATTGAGAGCTGTGAAAATGTGGAATAGACTCCCTCAAGAGTTGGTTCTGGGCAGCACAGTGGATTACTTTAAAAAAGGCCTGGATTCTTTCCTAGATACACATATTTTAAATGGATACTAACATTTATAAGTAAAGTTGATCCAGGGAATATCCAATTGCTTCTCGGGGGATCAGGAAGGATTTTATTCCCCTGCAAGAGCAAATTGGATCATGCTTTGCTTGTTTTATTGCCTTCCTCTGGATCAACTGTGGGTAAAGGATTATAACTTTTTTTCTGGTTGAACTGGATGGACTTAGACTGACTATGGAACTATGCAACATGAGAATCACACCATGTAGTTCTTTTTCAGGGGGAGTATAAAGAACATTTAACTAGCAGAAGTAATCATCATCACATTTTTCAAATTCTCTCAGGTACAGATCTCTCTTTTCTCAAACAAGAAAAAGGAAGCTAGCATTAGCCTTTAATTTATCTCTTTTATTGTTCAGAAAAGTACATTGCAGTGGTTCAAGGATGAGTAGCTAGCAGTGAGGCAAGTGACAATCTTTTTTTTTATTTAAAAAGCTAGATGGATAAATTAATTTACCTTAGTTGAGTTTATGTCAAAATACTGAGCAACAGGTCAAAATCAAAATAAAAAATATTCCTCATGCTGTTTGTAATTTTTGATTTAAAAAAATCCATTAAAAGTATCTTGAACTGTCTTCTCCAGAAATGTGACCCATTGGGAGACAACAATGAAGATCTACTACCAATAGTATTATACTCCAAAAAGATTGGCACAATACTACCCTACCACCTCCTCCGCATGCTGGAGGAACTGTAGCAAAGAAGGATCCATCTTTCACATTTGGTGGGACTGTCTATATCTGAAATCCTTCTGGGACTCTATATCCACCCTTCTCCGTGAGACTTCGGATATAAAAATCTCTTTGACTCCACAGATGGCTCTTTTTGGACTGAGATTAAATGCCTGGCTGTCCGCACATTACCCTATAGTCACACACATACTGATAGTAGCACGTCTATCTCTAGCACGTGCATGGAAGTACCCTAATCCTCCTACACTGCAAATGGTTATTTCAACACTGAGATGACCAATGCCTTAGGGAATTCCTTTTCACTAAAACACACCTAACCATCTCTAAATTCTCCAAGCATTAGCACCCTTGGTTGATAGATTCTCAATGCTCAGTAACCTACAAAACTGCTTAGCTCAGCTCCATAGATGCATGCACATCTATTCCATAGTCAATTGACTCTATCCTTATAAGAGCCATCTGTTAAGCCCTGACTACTCTAGGCTTGCTCTCTGGTTCCTTCCTGAGTATTCCTTAGAAATATCCTGGTCTTTGTTCCCCTTCCTTTTTACTCTTTAAACCGTTTCCAGACCCCCCTATAGCAGAACTTCTGCTACAGGGTGGCAGAGCTGTGCAAAATCACTTATATATAGTGGGTTTTGTATTTCTGGGTAGGGGGCACGCGCAAACGCGCCACCCTACCCGCGCCGCCACTGGACAGCTGTCGATCACTGGGTCCCGGACAGAAATTCCCCGCTTGCACCCAGTGATCGCCAAAGAATACTGACAGAGGAGAGGTTTGTATGTAAACAATACAGATCTCTCCCCTGTCAGCACCAGCATGTTCCTTTGTATTGTTCTGCTCTTTCCCAGTAGAGCACACACAGACAAAACAGTAAAACAACATACAGCACACAGTTAACCCTTTGATCTCCCCAGATGTTAACCCCTTCCTGTTCAGTGTCATTAGTACAGTGTCAGTGCTTTTTATTAGCACTGGTCACTGTATTAGTGTCAGTGGGGATGTCAGTGGTAGTTAGTCAGTTCCCCCCCCCCCTCCCCGTGTCCTGCAGTCCTGCTATAAGTCACTGATCGCCACCATTACTAGTATAAAAAAAAAATTCCAGTACACTGTATATACCACCATTTGTAGACACTGAGTATAACTTTCACATAAACCAATTAATTTGCACATATTGGGATTTCTTTCAGCAAAGACATGTAGCGGAATACATTTTGGCCTAAATTTATGACGAAATTTGATTTTTTAATTTTTTTCACGGGATATGTTTAATAGCAAAAAGTAGAAAAAAAGGAATTATATATATATATATATATATATATATATATATATATATATATATATTATTATTATTTTTTTTTTTTTATTGTTGGTCTTTTTGTTTATAGTGCAAAAAATAAAAAACACAGAGGTGATCAAATACCACTGAAAGAAAGCTCCATTTGTTGAAAAAGACATAAATTTCATTTAGGTGGAGAATTGCATTGCGTAATTGTCAGTTAATGTAACACAGTGCCGTATTGCAAAAATTGGCCTGGTCAGGAAGGGGGGTAAATCCTCTGGAGGGCAAGTGGTTAAATACTCGTCTATTTTAGTTTTACATGACAACTTGTCTACCATTATTGATAATATCTTATAACTTGACCACCTTCTAAAGGGTGACTACATTTGAGATAGACTTAACTTACATAATATATTGTATATCCTATACTTCCCTATAGTATTATCTTTGAAGATCAACTCTAAGCAATCGAGGAATCTCTCTCCTTCAGATATTATTACATATCTGGATTTGTATTTTGTCTGTACTCTGATACATGTATATTCCTTTTTTTTTCAATAAATACTAAAAGTAAAAAAAAAGTATCTTTAAAAAGACTATCTTATAAAAAGACTATATTAAATATATATATATATACAGTTGCAAGAAAAAGTATGTGAACCCCTTGGGATTACATGGAGTTTTGCATGAATTGGGCATAAAATGTGCTCTGAACGTCATCTAAGTCACAACAATAGAAGAACACAGTCTACTGAACATAATACTACACAAACATTAGATGTTGCCATGGTTTAATTGCACATAACATGTAAACATTCACAGTGCAGGGAGGAAAAAGTATGTGAGGCCCTAGCTTAATGACTTCTCCCAGAGCTAATTGGAGCCAGGAGTGAGCCAACCTTGACTCCAATCAGTGTGATGATATTGGATGTGTTGCTGACAGCTGTCCTGCCTTTAAAAAACACACACCTGTTTTGGGTTTACTGGATTCAAGAAGCACTGTCTGATGTGAACCATGCCTCGCAGAAAACAGCTCTCAGAAGACCTACGATCAAGAATTGTTGACTTGCATGAAGCTGGAAAGGGTTACAAAAGTATCTCCGAAAGCCTTGATGTTCATGTGTCCACGGTAAGACAGACTGTCTACAAATGGAGAAAGTTTAGCACTGTTGCTACTCTCCCTAAGCAGGGTCGTCCTGTAAAAATGACTGCAAGAGCACAGCGCAGAATGCTGCATGAGGTAAAGAAGAATCCCAGAGTGTCAGCTAAAGACCTACAGAAATCTCTGGCACATGCTAACATTTTTGTTGACACATCTACAATAAGG